GATTTCTGATAACTAAAAGTGTTCACGTCTCCTTTAAAAAAGTAGTTTGTCAGTAAAATCAGTTTGTTTGTTTTTTTCTGCAGGTTTGCTGCCAAATTGATTGCCGGTGTTTTGGACTTCAAAAGAATGATTGACTCGTAAGTTTGTTTGCCTGAATTATGTGCAAACATTCTGCTGTTGAAATAGAAAGATTATTATTACTGTAACTGGGTTTGTTTTTTTTCCAACTGTAAAATTGCAATTTATTGTATTTTTGCATCACAGTAAAACTCTGCCTGTGGAGTATTTGAGTGGGAAGCCGCTATGCATGGACCAGTATTACAAGATTCTCTCCTCCTGCCGTATTCCTGGATCAAAGAGAGACACTGTTGTACATTACAACACCGGGAAGACACCCCCGACCCACATCACTGTGGTCCACAACTTTCAGGTACAGTAAATGGCAGCGACGTGTTCCTCTTTTCACATTTCATGGGTTTCAACTACACAGTAGTTTCCATAGTTTGAGTCAGGACCCAACTGTGGATCTTAAAATGTATTTTTCAGAAATTAACTTACACATAAGCATCAGTGCTTCCCCTACCGTTATGCAAGCAGGGCGCCCTGCCCTGTCAACAGAACTGAGTGCCCTGCCTACCTCCGACATCCAGCAACTGTCGGTACTGATGTAGTGTGGTGCGCAGTACAAACACGCTAGCAAAAATGCTATTGACAGAGACAACAAAGTCCATGCTCAATAATCCAGGTATAAAATCCAACATTTTTCAGTCAGGTCATCTGGACAGTTTCTTTTTTTGTGCTGAAACATTTTTCCTTCGATCCAGAAGGCTTCATCAGTCAAGGAAACACACAACAAAACTGATTCTTCCTCCAACAGCTTACTCCAAAGTGGAACAAACCAGTTCTGCTTGTGATAAGATGGTCTCTTTGGTACGCCCCCTCCTCCTTGCCGGCCCTCTTCCTTGTGACAGTCTTGTCAAACTGGTTGAAAACAACTATTGACAAAGAGCTCCGCTTCTCCCACCCCCCACCCCCCACCCCCATCGACAAATACTGGTAGCAACATAATGCTAAACTAGCCTGCAACACAGACATGACTTAGTCCCCCCACCCCGCCATCGACATATAGAAATATCAGCAGAAAGGGAGCGCTAAGCTAGCATGCAACACAGACATGACTTAGTCCCCCCTCCCCACCCCCGTCGATAACTGTCAGTGTTGATGTAGCACGTTGCGCAGTACAAACGCACTAGCAAATATGCTACTGACAAAGAGCTCCGCTTCTCCCACCCCCCACCCCCACTGACAAATACCGGCAGCAACATAGCTCTAAGCTGGCGTGCACTACTGACATGACTCTGTCCCCCCCACCCCCCATCGACATATAAAAATACTAGCAGCAAGGTAGAGCTAAGCTAGCATGCAACACAGGTGTGACTCTGTCCCCCCTCCCCACCCCCGTCGACAACTGTATTGATGTTGTCGGTGCGCAGTACAAACGCGCTAGCAATAATGCTACTGACGAAGCATTCCACCCCCCACCCCACCCCCTCGTTTCGTTGACAAGTACTGGCACCAACATAGCGCTAAGTTAGCGTGCAACACAGACATGACTCCGTCCCGTCCCCCCCACCCCTGTCGACAAAAAAAGTACGAGCACCCTGCCAAGGCGGTTGTTTTTGGGACATTGTCATTAAAATTGTTACAAAAACTGATAAAAGATTGCATCTTTGTGTTGTCGTTCATTGTCTATTAGCAAAGTTTGTTTATTAAAACTGGCAAATAATTGTTGCTTTCAGCCTTTGTTAGTCAGAAATAAAAAAAACAACTTTGGAACTGTTAATCTAGAGCATTAAATAGCGATTTATAGTATCCGGATGCATGTTCAAATTATATGCAATGTATATTGTTTAATTTCATTATCTGTTGTGCATTAGCCAAAGAAGCACTGGATCTGTGATTTAACTGTTTGGTCTGTCCCTCCCAGTTCTTCGTCTTGGACGTCTACAACAGTGATCACACCCCACTGACTGTGGATCAGATTCACATGCAGCTGGAGAAGATCTGGAATTCTTCTTTGCAAACGAATAAAGAACCAATTGGCATCCTTACAACGCAGCACCGCAACACCTGGGGAAAAGCCTACACCAACCTGATTAAAGGTGAGCAAAGAATAGCAGTAACCTTGGTACAACTGGATTTATTTATTTATTATTTTACTGCACATCTGAGAGAAAACATTCAATCCTAATGGTTTGTTTAACTTCCCTCAGATAAGACGAATAAGGAGTCGGTCCGTTCCATCCAGAAGAGTATATTTACAGTTTGTTTGGATGCTCCGATGCTCAGGGTATCAGATGAGATGTATCTGAGCCGTGGGGCTGCCCAGATGCTACATGGGGGAGGAACACGGTGGAACAGTGGCAACCGCTGGTTTGATAAGACCTTACAGGTCAGTTTGGGAAAAGTTCCTTAAAATTAAAAATACCACTCAGGACTCTGGCACTAGTTGAGGATTTGTGTGTTTGCAAATCGTCCTCAGTTCATTGTTGGTGAGGACGGTACATGTGGACTGGTGTATGAACATGCACCAGCTGAAGGTCCACCCATCGTCTTTCTCATCGATTACGTAGTTAAATACATGTAAGTTTCCTTCAGTTTCTTCTCCTGTTTTTAGGTAAACTTGTGCTGAGTTAGCAGCTCATATGTTTTTATAACAGGAGGAGTACTGAAATGGTTCGCGCGCCTATGGTTCCTTTGGCCATGCCTCAGAAACTACGATTCAACATCACCTCTGAGATCAAGAGAGACATTGAAAAAGCCAAACAAAATATGAACATGTAAGTGCAGCCCTTATTGAATGTTTGTTTCCTGACTTTTAAAACATTTCTTTCTCCTTTTTCTTGTTTTCATAGAATGATGCAGGACTTGGATGTGAAGGTGCTTATGTTTTCTCACTTTGGGAAAAACTTGCCAAAGCAACATAAGCTGAGTCCAGATGCCTTTGTGCAAATGGCCCTTCAGCTTGCCTACTTCAGGTAATAGCCAGCCCCCACCCACTGCAACAGGAAGAAACCGTTCTGAGACATTAGGTATAACATGTTATCCTTGAATTTTAGGATGTATAATACTTGCTGCTCCACCTATGAGAGTGCATCGCTAAGAATGTTTAAATACGGGCGAACAGATGCAATTCGTTCGACTACTGCCGACTCCCTCCGCTTTGTCCAAGCAATGCAGGACCCGGCGAAGCAGGTACCGATGAACATCACAGGTTACGTAACGCACATGCTATGTGGTGAATGCAAGATGTTTCCCTGAGCGGTAAATGTTCCCAACAGAAGTCGGAGATGCTGGCATTGCTGCAGAAAGCTGTTCAGACACATAAGGAAAACACCCACAACGTGAGAGCTGGAGTAACTTTTGGCTTTGTTGGTTTTACTTTTAAAAAGAAACTTTCAAAACTGCCTCATGCCTTTTGCATATATAATTTTCAGGCCATCCACGGGCAGACCATAGACAGACACCTTTTTGGACTAAAGATGCAGAGCATTGAAGACCTGACCTCCATGCCTGGGATATTCATGGATACGTCTTTTGCCGTAGCTCATCACTTTAATCTCTCCACCAGCCAGGTAGATTTGTCTCTGAGAAGAACAACGGCTTATTATCACTGAGCAAATGATTGTTCACGCCCTTATTTATTTACTTGCACGTTTGCTCTCCTGCATCTCAATATCCAGGTTGGCTCTAAGACAGACTGCGTGATGTGTTTTGGTCCAGCGGTGCCAGATGGCTACGGAGTGTGTTACAATCCCATGGACGAGCATATCAACATTGCCATCACAGCCTTCAACAGCTGTGAGGAGACAAACGCTGCCAACTTCGCTCAGGCTGTGGAGGACGCGTTGTTGGACATGAGAGCTCTCCTGGAAGACACAGCTTCGACCAGACAGTGATCCCACACATGAGCCTAGCGTGCCCATCGTGTGTGAAAGCTTAAACTGAATCAAGTTGTTGCCAGAGTTGTTGGCAGAATGCCGCTCTGGCAGAGATGCACAGTGTTGCAGACGCCTGTTACCACAGGGTCTGTCGGAAAGTATATGATGCGTGACTGTGACGATGAGAAAATATTTATAATGAAAATGACATATTTATGATTATTGTAAAACTGTTGAAATAGTACAAATAGTTTTGTTTTTTTGTAATTTATACTTAAAGCAATAGTTCTCATCTTTTGAAGCAGGGTTCCATGGAAAAGCAAAATTAAGTGTTAATTTACCTTTTGTTCGTAGCTGTTTGGAGAAACTCAGAGAAACAGAGTTTGATTCTGACTGTATCACAAGCTACTGGTTTAAATCTGACTGGTCTGATGAGGTAATGGCTAGTTCAAGCAGGTCCGAGACCAACGTGAATCCTATCGTTAAAAAGCAAATCCAATTTTGAACATTTCGTAATAGTTCACGTGAAGGCCATTTAAAAAAGATTTACACCTCGACTGTTATTATTTCAGCAAAAAGATTTTATCATCCCTGCAGGATGTGCCTCAGGTTGCATCGGAGCTGCAACAGCTAGCTGCTGCTGCCATCGTTTGTGCCAGCAAATAAACGCATTTGCAAAATTGATGATTGTATAAAAGTTTATGGAATAGGGCTCGGTTAAACTAGTAAGAAATCTTTTAAACTGGAGTTGCTTTAAAACAGCAGCAAATCCCTTTCCCACTCGCACTAGCCTTGTAATTCTGGTCAGAATTCATCTTTGTTTCTCCAAAGTGACGTCATACAAAGTATTGTCTACAAGAGGTAAGATATTGATTGTTCATAACGTTTCTTCCGAACCTCACTTCAAAAGATATGAACTGTCACTTGGAGCAGTTTTTGAAGCACCCTGTTCTTGACTTAAAAAGATTCTGAGTGCCGTGGTTTGTATATTTATTTCAGGCGAAAGCGTTAAGAGCAACACTGCAGGAGTTTAAATTATTGAATCGGTTATTTTTTTACAGAGTAGAATAAAAGTGCATTTTAAGTATTGTGAGCTAATGAAATGTTACAAATACACAAACAGACTTATAATAATTCATGTTCAGCGATTGATGAAAGAATATTCAGCTCTGAAGGCCCCTTTGCTGTGCAGGTAGTCTCCGTGAAATTCAACCTCAGCCATGTTTCCAGAGGAGTGCCACAGGAACAGCTGCCGGCCGTTAAACACGTTGGTCTTTAAGACGTCCATATCCCGAATCTGAACAAGGAGAATGGAATAATGCAGCGGTTACTCCATGAACAAGTTCCTCCTCCTGACCGTGCAGCATACTGAAACATGTTGCAAAGCTCATATGCACCATAATGTATGTAGACTGGGAGTTGGTTGCGTTGAATACTAATCCTATGTGCAGGGCTTGGATTCTGATCTTCACTGAGGGGGGAGCATTGATGAGCACTCGGCAGGTGTGGCTTGTGTTCGATGTTGACGGATTCTCAAAAACGCCGCTGGGGGAAAATAACTGAATGTCGCAATCTGTCGGGGGCAAATATGAGGAACATTATATCCCCGCTTGGCAAAATATCACGTGCACAAACAAATGCTGTCACATCTGTGCAAAACTGAAAATGCAGGACTTTTCTCTGCAACAGATATTGTGCTGGGGTAATCTGTGTGCTGTAATGCACTTTGCTGTGTTCATGCCTCGGATTAAGTCCCACCAGCAGCAACATGCACAGAACAGTGCAGTTGCAAATATTAGTCGCAGCTACTGTTTACAACAAATATGTAGCTTTGCTATATTTTTACTCTGCTGCATTATTGTGTGAATGCTTATTTATACTATTATTTTCCTGTTTATATTTATTTTCGTTGCCTTAAACTATTCCATACGTTTTTCAGCATTAACTCGTTCCGCAATTTTTGAGCTATTTCAACAAATCAAATATCAAAACGTTCATCTCATTCAGGACAATCCTGCTATGACTTCTTTAGCTACTATTCAGTTGTTTAGGTGAAATTTCTGCTTTTTTCAGATAATTTTCACTTTTTGTGCTCATTTCTACTTCTTTAAGCCTAAAATTGTGCTCTTTCTTCTTCATTCTGCTAATTTAAGCTGCTTTCTGCTATTTTTAGCTACTTTTGAGCTGTTTTCTGCTAATTTCTGCATTCATCAGATAATTTCCACTTTTTGTGCTCATTTCTGCTTCTTTCTGATAATTTAAGCATATTTTTTGCTATCTTAGGTACTTTTCAGCTATTTATTGCTAATTTCAGCTTTTTTAGCTAAATTCCTATTTTTTGTGCACATTTCTGCTTATTTAAACCTTATTCTGCAAATATGTGTTCTTTCTACTGACTTTGGCTTGTTCTTACATTTCAGCTATATTTAAGCTTTAAGCTGATGTTCAGCTGTTCTTCTGCAATAAGCATTCACACTGCATTTTTGCAGGAAATGCAATTTCTCTAGTTAGCAGTTATTTTCTGTTGCGTTGTGTTTGGCTCTGGCGGTCAGTGTTTCATAAACCTCCCTGTGTACGTTCCTTATGTTTCAATAGGCCTTTTTAAACCTTGCATCGGAAAGTTGGTTAGCAAGCCCCACCAAGGTGGCATACCCTTATAGTGGCTCCTCTTCATGTTCTTCTGTGAGCTGTAGGTAAACACCACCCCACTCCCAGGAGTGAACAGCGTTTGTCGCACAAGCAGGACATTGGTTCTGGTTGTCAGTTCACTGCCCGCTACCTGCGCGCACTTCCTCACGAAAGCCAGACGATCAAAGAACGCCACGTACTCCTCTGTAACAACACGTGCAGAGTTCTACATATCTGTTCAGCTGCAGGACTCGTGGGAAACGTTTTGAACCCAGCATACTTTTTCTGCAGTTCAAGGAGCTGGATAGGATGTTGATGTGGATGACCTCGTCAAGGGGTCGACCGATGGATACGGTGCATCGGCTGGGTACGTCTTTCAAATCCACTGTGCCAAATTCTTCCAGAAGGAGCTGCCCACAAGCACCTGGAAAAGCAAATGCACTGGGATTAGTGTTATGCTTTATCTTCAGCTAATAATGAGTTATAAAACGAATTGTGTGCACCGACTAGGTTTGAGCGTTGGGGTGGGAGTGGTGGTGGCTCCGACTTCTGTTGGTGTTGGAAGAGTACCGTTGGTATGTGATGTATCTTTCTGGCCCTGGGTTGGAGCTGGAAGAGGGGTCTCCGTTAGGCTTGTTTTTGTAGTGGCGGTCTCGGAGGTCACATCGCTGCAGCTGTCCCTGTAACAGCCCTGGATGGTGATTGGTTTGGGCATGTGCATACAAAACAGGGGGCTGAGGGGCTCCGGCTTGGACGGACCCATGCAGGAGATGGTTCTCGACTGGATACCATATCCACAGGGTACTGAACACTAAACACAACATGAGAGGTGAGTGCAGGTCAGCGTGTAAATAGGATCATGTATAAACACGCACAGGTCACGCTGTTGACACTATCAACAATATTTCAGTGGACTGCTTTGTCCTTGCTGAAGGTTGAGCAGGTTTTATTTTACAGCTGCTGGTGTTTTACTCTGATGGCAAATCAGTATATTAATTATTTTAGCCCTTGTTGTCTATTTGTATTCAAGCAGATCTTTATTTTCCAGTGCTGTAGAATGTACCTGGCTCCATGGCTTCACCTCCCACCTGTAGGTGCAGACTTTCACCAGGCAGGGTACCACAGTGGCTGGTTTGACAGCTTCCCGGCAGTTGTCGTCCAACACCACACTCTCTTTGCCGTGGATAAATTGGACACAGGACACATTCCTTTTAGCCACACCCAGGTCACAGGAGACAGAGCAGGGGGATGTCCTGACAACCTTCCACCTGGACAAATGGTACAGGTGAAATCCCTTTTCACTGGTGCTCCTTTGTGTTGCTGTGACGTGTACCTTGCAGGACAGCTGTGAGTGTTACAGGAAACCACTGCTGTGGGTTTGGGAAAGTTGCTGCAGTTGGAGTCATCCACCACCTCCTCCTCTCCCTCCACTTCTGCAGCACAGTACAACACCCGGTTTGTCACCCCTCCTCCACATGTCACACTGCAGACTCCTTGCTTAGAGCGCCACCTGGTGGTTATAAAAACAATACAGCTGCAGCTTGAAAAGCTTTATTCTGATTCATTCAACCTTAATTTCTACAGGTTAATCCCATGGAGCCACGGGGACTCATTTACAAGAGAGATCTGATTTTAACAAAGGGCGATGACAACAGCAAAAGGAAGCATACAAACTGAGAAGAACAAGTGAAAGAAAATGGTATTAAAAAAAACACACACAAAAAAAAAACAGATAACATAGTTTTTTAGCAGGTTTATAGGTTTCTCTGTATGACGGAAACAAAATGTGGAAATGCATAAACTGTACAGAAATGCTGCATTTTGTGCTCGTCTTACACTGCAGCGCAGGGGGACGTGCCACAGATCTCAATCTGAGCGTCAGGTTTGGTAGAAGCATCACAATTAAAGTCAGGAACACCCAGTCTGGTCTGATGATCCACACAGGAGAACCACACCTGTAGGGTTCCTTCCATGCATGAGCGTTGGGTTTTAAGTTACTAAATATTTTTAAAAAGATGCTTCTGAAGTGGAAATGGTGATGATGTGAAACTTACCGTTGCCACAAGTCTTTGAACACTGACTGACAACAGGACTCCACACGTACACAGGAGCCTGACGGGAGCGTGGTAACAAACCAGACTTCAACACAGGAAGCTCCTGGTTAAAAGAGAGTAGTTAGACGTGTCATTTAGAAATGACTGTGATAGTTTTCCCTGTCACTTTACCTCTCTTTTAGATTCCCACCCAACTGGGCAGACGTCCACCACACATGGCACAACATCAGCTGGTTTGATCCGCGTCAAACACAAGCTTTGATCCACTTCAACATCCTGACCATCTTCATGCCGAACACACGACACGACGCGTTTCGCCTCTCCTGGCCCACACACGGCCGAACAGTTCCCTGGCTCTGACACATGCCATCTGCGAGGAAACACAAGTGGCTTTTCACTTAAAACTCATTTTGCAGTGGTGGAATAACACCACAGATCCTCTGAGATCACTGCAGGGAATGCACTTCTTGTAATCATTTAATTCCAGGCCTTTTAATGAGAACACATAATACTGTAGATCATACCTGGCTGGACAGTGGTGCAGGTTACACTTTTCATCAGAGTGTGGAGCAGTATCAAGAGAACATTCAGACTCTGGAACCAGTACCAAATCTGCTCCCTGTTGTTGGACACATTGTACAGGACGTACTCGAACTCCCCCTCCACAGGAGGCACTACAAGCTCCAAACTGTCCTGCATCCCACCTGCAAAACGGTAAATTATTTATGAATATTCATTTCAGCTTAGTATGGCTGTGAAAGCAGAGCTGCGAGTAACCTGGGGGGGCAGGCCGAGAGCTGGCAGGCTGTTTGGAGGAGCGCAGTTGGAGGAGGTGCTGTACAGTGGTGCTGCTGCAAATGGTTGTTGGTACTTTTGTCTACACAGACAAACACATGCATCTGTACACCTATGAAGACAACAAGTAGGACAAAGAAAAAAATGTCAGTCCTGTAACAATACATATTGGATTGATATGAATTTATAGAAAAGATTCAAGTCAACTTAGTTAGCACTGCTGTGAAGTTTCTAATGGCTCATCAAATTTACTATTGTACAACTCCAAATTATAAAAGGTTTATTCTGTTCAAAAATACTTTATTAATCCCAAAGGGAAATTAAGTGTTGTCGTAGCTCATCCTTGTGGTATCGTTCAAGAGTTGTTATAGATGCTGATAGCTGTGGGCATGAAGGATCTTTTGCAGCTAATCCGAAGAATCTGGTCACAGATACGATCCGTCCACCTGGATCCAGCTTGCTGTCAGATGTGGCGGGCCTCTCGGTCCTCCTGGGCAGCAGGACTGCCCGAATGCCAAGCAGAATCCCTCCCTGAGCGATGGCCACTCCTCCCAGCAGTCTGCTGAGCTCCTCGTCACATGGACAAACAGCTGAAGGTGCCGGGGCATGATCCCTGTCCTCCCGTTGTGACGAGCCGAGTTTCCCACCAGCTCCAGGATCTCGGTGGTCAGACTCGAGCATTGCCGCCAGGTTGACGGGAATTAATCCACAGTGCCTCCTTTTCAACTCATTTGGGAATCGGGGCTGTAGTTGAGGTATTCAAGCTTTTAAGATGTTAATCAGCTGCTCCTGGTTGTTAAAAACACTTTGTTGTCATGGTTACGCATCTTAACAAATGCCCGAAAGTAAAAAGGTTTCAGTAAAATCCTTCCAGCTGCACAGCATCCGATACCAGATGAAAATAATCATCCGAAAAAAGTGATTTCCAGTCAGAAAAAAAGAGGAATTAAAGTTTTTCAAAAGCAATAACAGAATGATAATTAAACCGTATAGAATAGTATTATTTCATGCTGCTGTATTCATTCGTACTCATCTACTCACACAGACTCATGTATGTGTTGCTGTTGTTTGGCGTATTGTTTTGCACTATTAGTGTTTAATTTATTTCTTAGTTTATATCTTAGATATTACTGTTTTCTTTAAACAATTTATATTTTTGCTGTTGTTGGATGTAACTGGAACCCTGTGTGCACAATTTTGTTCCACCACATGTACCACATGTGATGCAAATGATTTTTTTTTTTACCCTTTATTTATCCAGGTAGTCTCATTGAGCCACAAGAACTCATTTTCAAGAGAGACCAGTTTAGGGAGCAGATGGGGTTAAGGGCCTTGCTCATGGGCCCAGAGTGGGGCGAATGAGGGTGGGGGCAGGTGTGGTTGCTTCAAATACCCCACTCACATGTGTGATGTTGTCGGTACCGGGGCTTGAACCAGCGATCTTCCGATCACAGGCCCACCTTCTCTAGCCTCTGCGCCACCACTCCCCCATAATAAAACCTACTTGAACTTGAACCTGAAAATCTAGTTCAAACAAAAACATTCTTATTCTTACTTTTATTTAGTTCTCGTTTTATTTTAGACTGCATAATTGCACCCAAGGTATTTCATCTTTTGCTTTGTTACCTATCCCATCCCTTCTGTTTTAGGGCTTCAACTCATTTCCAACAGACAAATATTAAATTACACTTTTGCAAAAAATGTGTTGATAATTTGAAGCCATATGTGCTGCAGTAATGTGAAATCTCTTTAAATATATATATAAAAAAAGTGTCATTATATGTTTGGATCATGTTGTAAAACTGAAAATAATTGTAATAATAAAAAAATAATAAAGTAGATCAAATACACATAAAATAAATTCACACTGGCATTGTTTGAAACAAACTGAAAGTCAAAGAGAATCAAGGAAGGGCTGTTTTATTATTATTTTTAATATAAAAAGTGTACCTTCCATACATCTCAATATACAAGTTGGTGTTCCCCCTGATATTGTTCCTTATAAATGTCCCCATGCATTCATCAGTGAGTTGTTTACCTGATCCACAAGAGACGGAGCAAGGTGTGGTGAAAACAGCCCATTTGCCTTCAGGTGCAACATCCATCCAGCTGCTGTTCCTGACAGGTATGTAAAACCAGTAGCTGATGTTTGGATTTGTTTTTTCACCGTATTCCTTTCCGTATTTGCGATAGATCTGCAATTGGAAAATAAAATGTAAAAAAAAATACTTAGCATGAATAATGGTTTAATTTGTAAAGCCACCAGCTCCTCTCTGCATGGACAAGCAAGTAAAGAACATGGATGATGGAGAGATCCCCTCCTATATTACACCATGGCATCAGTTCTAAGCGTGTTTTCTTCCCCTGACCTGTATATTTATCTCCTGTTTCAGAGGTCCAGGCACCATCACCTCTTCCATCTCGGGTAAAAGGTCAGGGGTCAGGTGGAGACGGTACTCCAGTTGGTTTTCATCCAGCGGGGAGGGATGGGTGATATTCAGAGCCATGCTGCCTGAACCGGACACAATGTACCGACCCCCGACCATTACAGCTGCAAACACAAAACACTTTGTTTTTACACGTTAGTTTAATGCAGTGTTTTAGGAATGTGAAGGTTTTGATGTTAGTTACCCAAATGAGTGAAGAGAGGAGCCATGTTGACTAAATGAACCTGTGTTGCATTCACTGGCAGCGTGAGGAATGTGCTATATTCTTGTTGTGACGAAAGAAAGAATTGAATCTTTGTTTCTTCTGAACAGTCTGAAGCCTAACTGCATTCAATTTGCAACGATGAGTTATCCAATAATTTGTCACCTTTGGCCTGACCGCCACTGTAGGAGTCAGACGTCAGACTGCAGGTCGACCCATCTCCGTCACACACCCCACAAACATCCTGCACTTTTCCAGAGTGCAGCACCCCATCACATCCAAACAGCTGATCACGGACAAAACACTAAACATAAACAACGTCAAACCAGTTGAACAAAACCTGCTTCTTGAGGCTGATTTTACCCGACATCTGCCTTGCAGACAAGCAGCCGTTGTGCCAAAAGGAGGAGGACTGTCGGACTCGCAGCGAGTCCCGTCCACAAAGTGAGAGCCACGGCTCACTATGAAGTTTTCTCCATCCGACTGGCACATATATCTGCACTGCTCATCCCCTGGTCAGAACCAAAGAAAAAACTGTATTGAAGTAGTTTTTATTTTTTCCATTTTTCTTCCCCCCGTCCTCTCTCTTTAGTTTCACCTTTTACAAATCCAAGAGCAGGGATCCATTTGTAGAAGGAGGCAGTATTTGGTTGAAGGTAGAGGGGGTCGAGGTTGGTCTGAGAACACTGTTCTGCCATGAAGTCCAGCTGGGTGTGCTCACAACGCTGCAGCAATGAGAGCGGGGAGGTTTAAAGCTACACAGACATTGGGCTCGTGCTGCAGCTGTGCAGAGCTGAATTCAGAACGTTGCCACATTTTACTGCAAGTTCCTGCTTTTAAATGATTTCTTAGTCTTGTGTTCCAAATTGACTAAATCTTTTTTTCTTTTAATCAAAAGATAAAAATAAAAACTTTGAATGATTTTGAGAACGGTGAACCATGTAATGGCTTGTATTGACCCGGTATAGAGGCCCACTGTAAACATAACCAGTAAGAACATGCCTGCTGGTGACAAAGTTCAGCTTCAGTATCTGGACCCTCGCAGTCCTTCCCTCCAAAAGCAGGTCTGAAAAGACAAGATAGATTTTATGTCCTTATTTATTGATAAAAAATTTTTAAAAAGCATTATGAAGGAGGGATCAGTGCTTGTATGAGTTTTGTTACCTTGGGTTGTTGCATTGCCGTGTGCGGAGCGTGACCCCCCCACCACACGTCCGTGAGCAGGAGGAGAACTCGGACCAGCTGGACCAGGAGCCATTGACAACAACAGAGGAGCCGAAGTCATGTGGGGACACGCAGCGGCCCTTAAGACACCACTAAAAGACAAGATGAGGAATATGTGAGGGTGGACTACCTCAGTGAGAAAGTGACTACAACATATTCACTGAAAGCAGCACATGATCAGGAGCACATTCTGTCCCATCCAGCAGAGGAACCAGGAGGCGTTTGCAGGAGCTGTCATCATCAGGCTCAACGTGACAGGACAGAACACGACAAGCCGCCTGATGGAAAACCAGACGGAGATATAAACATGAATGAACATGTAGAACTGCATGAGCAGTTGATATGGAACGCCGCTGGGCGTTATCGAGCTGAGGCTGCAGAAGGCGTACCAGGTCAGGGTTGGTGAACGTGCAGGCTCTTGCAGAGCTGCCAAAAGCTATACGACACTGGTCATCCACACCGTAATACAGGCCGGGCTTCCAGTCCTGCAGGGAGCCTCTCAGTGCAGGCAGATCTTCAACACATGCTGCTTTACCTTGACTGGGAACAGCAAAACATGATTTCCTCGTCCTCACAAATAAAATGCATTAAAAAAATCTATCAGTTTAATTATGTTTAACAAAGAGTTAAAGAAAATAACAGTTTCACCAACATAAAAAGAAGTCATTTGGTGACAATCTGTGAGGAAAACTTATTGAACAACATCTGTGGGACTAGTGACAGCTGCTCGGGTCAAGTTGGCCCACCTGAAGAACATGAGAAGCTGCTGCCTGCTGCAGGGGGACCAGGTCAGATCCACGCTGTTGTAGCCTCCATCAGAGGCCATCATAAAGCCACTCTGACTGCAGGTGTTCCCGACTCCATCATGGTCGATTCCAAAACTGGATATCAAGAAATCAAGGTACTTTATTAACATAAAATTACGGTGGCCCTGAGGTGGTTTGACTTATGTGATTCCATTTTTTCCAAATGTGATTCCAGCTATTTCCGCTTCGGCCACTTCTGCTTTGGCTTAATCTAATTCTGTTATTTCAAATGTAATTATGTTTTTTCAAATGTTGTGTTTTTGCTGTGGTTTTTTTTTTTCAAATGTAATTCTGTTTTTTCCAAATGTGATTTCAGCTACTTCCACTTCGGCCACTTCTGCTTTGGCTTAATCTAATTCTGTTTTTTCAAATGTTGTTCATTTACACCTCAGGGCCACCGTAATTCCATCACACAAACTGCAAATTGTATGATTTTTTTTTATTTTTTTTTTGCATTGGAAATGATGGGAGGAAATAATTTAAACTTTCTGACTTTTAAATGAGTAATTATATATATATAAAAAAAACACAATAACATTAAATCTTTAAAACAGTTTTACCTGTGACCAAGTTCATGAGCGATGGTGATGCCCAGGTCAAAGCCCGTGTCCTCTGTAATCACACAGCTCCACTCTTCAGAGCAAACCCCTCCCAGCTGAGTTACTCCCCTGACCTGCCTGTTCCCATCAGGCAGCTCCAGGTCAAACCTGGTGGTGATGGTGGTGATGGTGGTTATACCGTTTCCCTTTGACACAACATCATTTATGTGGTTAAAGATCCATCAGAGACCTGCAGCTTACTCGCCTCGTGATATACAACAGGAGATCAGCGTGCAGCGGGTCTGTGTCGTTGGGGGGGTTGATCCTTCGGCCCCAGTCACACACACTTCTGAGGGAAGACATGATGTTGGAGGACAGTTGGATCTCTGGCTGGAGGAGGTAGCACAACAAAAAGTGAGGTGGTAAACAGACAATGCTCAGACAGACAATCCTCCTCAAGTCTCTGAATCAAAGTAGCATCTGACAATTAAACTTCTTTCCTGAGTTAAAATCTGCTCCTTTAAGAACACAATCAATAATTAACCATAATTTCTGACCTCTCACCTCTGGTTCTGACAGGATGATCGTGCGAACCAAGTGCACCCTCAGGTTGGCGCCCAGAGTCACGTCCCTCAGCAGCTCAGAGGCCTGGGAAAACGTAAGAATATGGATCCAATCATTAGACTTCATCCTGCTGACAGAGAGTAATTGGACTAAAGCACCGCAGCACCCTGCAGAGCGAGCGAGAGAACATTTCACCATAAATTTCACATATAAACAGAATTTTTTCTCCAAAGTGTTTTTTTCTTTCTAGTCTGTCGTTATTTATTGATCATTCCTTCAAGCAGTTTCCATACATAGTTTGACCTACATTCTCATCCACTATTCATCAGATTACTTAAGAGTAAGTTGTTTTTTCTGTACGTTTGTGCCAGTACTTACAATGTTGAGATTAGTGAGGATGTATCGTTCTGTATCCTGCTTATGGACCTGCTGGACATCAGGTCCTACCACCACCATCAGTTCCAGGTGAGTGACATCAGGGAGCAGAGTGGAGCGACGCAGACGACCACTCACTTTGAGTAAAACAAAAACACAACCCCGTTACTGCTTTAAGACAGCTCAACCAGCACTATAAGATGTTTTATTATGAAAGTTCTTATTCCATCGTGTCAGATAGGAAACTGTGTTCTCAAGATGCCACACCTGATCCTGAAGACATCACATCTCCTGGAGTAGTGAAGAGACCAAGCTTCTAGAAGAAACAAACAACATTAAACTAGAGAATTTACATTTCCTGTGAAAAAGCATGTGAACGCTCACTGCAGAAGAACTTGTTGAAAAACAGCAGAAACTAGCTAAAAACATGCTGAAATGGAAGAACAAGCCCAAATTAGCAAAAGAAAGTAGAAAGAACACATATTTTTATTTTATTTTATTCTATTAATATTTATTTAACCAGGCAAATCCCATTGAAATCACAGATCTCTTTTTTAAGGGAGGCCTGGGCCTGAAGGAAAACTAACATGTTTTTGGTCTGGCTTTGCAGAATTATTCAATATTAAATATATATATATGTAAATATATAAAAAATAGATAAAAATATTACATTATTAAATACTTGCAGAATAAGCATTAGCAGTGGCTTCAAACATCCGGTTCCTGGCAAAAACCAATGCAGACAAGTTCCTGTTTTTAGTTACTTTTTGTTTCAGGTTTTTTACATCATTTTCTTTTATTTGTTCTTCTCAATTATTATGTTTTTTTTATGATTGTCTATTGTTGTCTCTGTTGTCATCACTCTTTGTTAAAATAAGGCCTCTCTTGTTGTTGAACTGGTTGCTGGTATTAAGAAGGCCAAGGCCACATATGCACAGAGGATCGAGGGTCGGTTCACCTCACAAGACCCTTGGAACATGTGGAGGGGCATTAAGTGCATAACAGATTATAAAGGAAGGAGCGAACAATGCCCCAAAGACCCATCACTGTCTGATGCACTCAACAAGTTCTACGCAAACTTTGAAGACCCGAACAGACCACCCAGCACCAGACTCACCTCACCACCGGATGAAGAGCATCTCAGTGTGACCTCAGCAGAAGTAAGGAGTACCTTCAGGAGGATTCAACAATTTTCAGTCAGGTCATCTGGACAGTTTCTTTTAGCACCAACATAACTGGTTTGTTCCACTTTGGAGTAAGCTGTTTGGGGAAGAATCAGTTTTGTGTTGTGTGTTTCCTTGACTGATGAAGCATTTTGGATGGAAGGTGAAACGTTTCAGCAAAAAAAAAAAAAGAAACTGTCCAGATGACCTGACTGAAAATTGTTGGATTGTATACCTGGATTATTGCGCATGGACTTTTTTGGTTTCAGGAGAATTATTCCACACAAGGCAACAAACCCAGACAACATCCCCAGGAAAGTGTTGAAAGAATGTGCTGATCAGCTCTGTGAGGTGCTGGCAGGCATCTTTAACACCTCACTTACCCTGGAGACAGTTCCCGCCTGCCTGAAGACTGCCACCATCATCCCAGTCCCAAAGAACTCTACAGTGACTGGTCTGAATGACTATTGGCCAGTAGCCCTCCCCCTGATAGTCGCTAAAAGCTTAAAAAAACTGGTCATGACTCACATCAAAACAACCATCAACATCAACGAGGACCCTCATCAGTATGCATACCGTGAGAACCGATCAACAGAGGACGCCATCTCCTCTGTGGTCCACACTGCTCTCACCCACCTGGAGAAGAAAGACTCTTACGTCCGTATACTCTTTGTGGACTTCACATCTGCCTTCAACACCATGATCCCCCAAACCCTGATGGACAAACTATCCACACTAGGACTAAGCCCCTCCATTTGCAACTGGGTCCTAGACTTCTTAACAAACAGACCAGAGTTAGTGAGGATCCACAACCTCTCCTCCTCCACCATAACCCTCAGCACTGGCTCTCCTCAAGGATGTGTGTTGAGCCCTCTCCTGTTTACTCTTCTCACGTATGATTGTGCAGCTACCCATGCAGACTGTCACATTGTAAAGTTTGCAGATGATACAGCGGTGGTGGGATGCATCACAAACAATAATGAGTCCAGCTACAGCCAGGAGGTGGAACACCTGGAGAGCTGGTGCAAAGAGAATAACCTTCACATCAATGTGAAAAAGACAAAGGAGATGATTGTGGACTTCAGAAGGAACAAAAACACCTACACCCCCCTGAACATAAGAGGATCTGCGGTGGAAGTAGTCTCCAGCTACAAGTACTTGAGTGTACACATGAATAACAACCTCAGCTGGAGCAACAACACCACCAGCCTGATCAAGAAAGCTCATCAGAGACTCTACTTCTTCAGACGGCTGAGACGAGCTGGTCTGGGAAGCTCAGTCCTCACCTCCTTCTACAGGTGTGCAGTGGAGAGCATCCTGTGCTCCAGCATCAACGTGTGGCATGGAGGCTGCACAGCTGCAGAAAGAAAAGCTTTGCAGAGAGTGGTGAAGGCTGCACAGAAATCTGTTGGAGTCAGTCTCCTCACCATCACAGACATCTACACCTCCATGCAGGAAGAGGACCACCTGCATCATGAAGGACCCCACTCACCCAGCACACACACTTTTTGCCCCACTCCCCTCAGGAAGGAGGTTGAGGAGCATTAAGTGTAGAACCACTAGACTAAGGAACAGCTTCTACCCTGATGCTGTTAGACTCATGAATCTCTAACCAGAATAATCACTGTGAAAAAAATCACATCATGTTGCTGCTGATCTGTTTCATGTTGCTGCTGATCTGTTTCATGTTGCTGCTGATCTGTTTCATGTTGCTGTGTTCATTCATATTCATCTACTCACACAGACTCATGTTTGTGCTGCTGTTCAACGTAATGTGTTTATGCTGTTAGTGCTTAGTATATTTTTAGTTGATGTTTTTCTTAGTTCATATCTTAGATCTTATTACTGTTTTTCTTTTACATTTTATTGTTGGATGTAACTGGGACCCTATGTACATAATTTCGTTCCACCACATGAACCACATGAGAGTGAATGACAAATAAATCTCTCTGAATCTCTGAATCTTGTAAGAGTCCCAGAGGCTCAATGGGGTTAACAGGTATAATACATAAACGTTGAATGAAAGAAAAAGGTTAAATAAGAAGAAATTAGCACAAAAATTAGGAAAGTAGCTAAAAAAAAAGCTGAAATTAGCAACAAATAGTTGAAAAGTAGCTGAAAAAGCTGAAATAAGCTAAAACACGTTAAATTAGCTGAAATGCTAAAAAATAGCATAAAAACAGATAAAGGTAACTGAAAAAAAAAGCTGAAACTAGAAGAAATAAGCTGAAAGGAGCATAAACAGCTGAAATTAACAAAAAAAAGTTAATTGAGCTGAAAGTAACAGAAGTTACCACTAAAAACTTGAATTTATCTAAAAACAGCTGAAATTAGCTAAACAAAATAGCTGAAAAATTAGTACAAGCTTAAATTAGCAGAATAAAGCAGAAAGAACGTTTGCCCAATTAAGCTCAAAAAAGCCAAAATGAGCAAAAACAGCTGAAAAATTGCTAAAAATGCTGAAAGAAACTTAAATTACCAGAAGAAAAAGGAGAGAACACATTTGTGCTGGGTTAGGCTGAAAAAATTGGACATTAGTTTAAAAAAAAAAAAGGAATTAGCTGAAACGGCTAAAATTAGCATTAAAACGGCTAAATAGTAGCTGAAATAGCAGAAATTGTGAAACTAGCAGGAAAAATGCTGAAAGGGGCACAACAAGCAGAAATTAGCAGACAAAGGTTAGAAGAAGCACAAAAATATTTGTTAGCAGAAATAATCTAAAAGGATTACAAAACAGCTGAAATAAACTAAAATCAGCTGGAAAAGTGTTTAAATTTGCACAAGGAAGCTGACAGAAGCTGACGCAGAACAAAATGTGAAGGGAGCAGTAAAATGTTGTAAACGGATCTAAAGATTTCAAGGATGTAAAATGAGCTCAAATTAATTTTCTATGTGGAAAAAATGACAGAAAAGGCTAAATATTTCAAAAAGCTAAAGTTGCAGTTGCACCAATAACAAAAGTCATGGCACCCTTTTTCTGAATGAGCTGAATGTTTTGATATATGACTTGTTAAATTAGCACAACAATTGTGGAATGAGAAAGAAGCTGAAAAATGTACGAAAGGAAAATAAATCACAGTATGTTTCATAAACATTCACACAATTAAAACCAGCAGCTTTGTCTAAAATAATCATAGACAAGTGGCTCAGATATTGAATGATTTGGAAATTCCCAGGAAGTTAAACAGTTTAAAGCTAAAGAGTTCATTGCACTTTGCCAGAATCCCGAACAGTAAAATCATCTTCTGCTGGCCTGCACTTTTCCACCTACCTCGTTCTGTGGGGAGCTCATTAAAGGGCTGAAGCCTTGCAGCAGGAGCAGAAGACAGAGTGGAGTCATGAAAGCCATGCTTTTCCTCCGTCTGTGTCTGCCTGCTCTGCTTTGACACCAGGACAACATGTGATCCGCCGTCTCATGCAGGGCAGAGCACAGCCATGAGTGTATGAGTAACATGACTATGCAAACAGTGGGGACAAAGTTGATGCGTGTCATTTGTTCTTCTTTTCCTTTAAAAAAAACAAACAAACAGGTTAGAAATCAAGAAGACAACTCTTATTAGTTAGCTTGTTTTGGATTTGTGCTGACTTATATGTGTAACTTTTTGCCCTGTGTGACAAAAGGGATAAAAGTTCATTCATAAAGGCTTTATATTTTTTAAGTTGCTGCCAGTTTAGCTCCACTACAAGGGCAAATGGGCTAATGTGTTGTTGCAAATTATGGCCAGTAGAGGGCAGACATGCACCTGAACTTATAATGCAAACTAATTGGCTAAAAGGGAGGGGAGAAATGGAAAGCTCTCCACAAAAATGTAAAAGATAACATCCTTTCAGCACATGAAAGACATTAATTAAAGCAGTGCTAAATTTCCAGTTAGGATCCACAGTGGAAGCAATAAAACTAAAGGTAAGACTTTTTTAAATGAAATGTGATTTATTTGCAGTTCAAATGTGCAATGAAGGACTCCCCTTTCTAGCTCAGCTAGCAGTACTGTTTTTGAAAACAGTTTGGTCAGAAAGCAAATATTTTAGTGTGTTTTATGCTTTTTGGCGATACTTTAGATTTAAATCATCTTTTAACAATATCTTAAATGTTGCAGAAAGCTGTTGGAATAGTTTTAGTTAGAAGAACCTTCTCTATTTACTCTAATACCTAAGATATTAATTTATCTCTCTCTTATTGTTTTGTCCCACCATCACTCATAACTTCAGCAAAAACTCCAATTCTTAATAAAACAGGTGCCGATCCAAATGACTTAAATAACTTTAGACCAATTTCTAACCTACCCTTCATTTCCAAAATACTTGAAAAAAAAGTTGCAGCCCAGGTTCACAGTCATCTTTCTGATAATAATCTATTTGAAGAACTTCAGTCAGGTTTCTGCCCCCTCCACAGCACCAAGACTGCTTTGATTAAAATCACCAATGATCTCCTGGTTGCTGCCGACTGGACTTTTATCAATTCTCATTCTCCCTGACCTGAGTGCAGCATTTGATACCATTTTGCATGATATTCTTCTCGATAGATTACCTTCCATTGGTTTTTCTGGAGTTGTTATAAATTGGTTTCAATCTTATCTCTCTGACTGTCAGCACTTTGTCCAACTTAAGAATTTCAAGTCACAGTCCTCCACAAATATTTCAAGTGTACCGCAGGGTGCTAATCTTGGTCCTCTCCTGTTTATCATTTATCTTCTTCCACTTGGCCTTATCTTTAAAAAAATGTGGTATTAATTTTCATTGCTATGCTCATGACACCCAGCTCTACTTCTCCACCAAGCCCAACACCACCCTTCCACCATCCTTCCTTTCGGACTGCCTCTGTGAAATCCAGTTATGGTTTAATCAAAACTTTCTTAAACTGAACTCAAAGAAAACAGAATTCCTCCATGTTGGCACCAAGTCTACCCTATCCATACGTAATATGTTCACAATTAAAGTTGATGATTCCACAGTTTCTCCCTCCCCTACAGCTAATAGTCTGGGTGCCATTCTTGATAGCACGTTATATTTTTAATCTCATGTCAATAACATTACTCAGTCTGCACATTTTCATCTTCAAAACATCAACCGTCTCCGTTCATTTCTTACCCCCACCAGTACAGCCATCCTTATCAATGCTCTAGTCACCTCTAGACTAGACTACTGTAAATCCCTCCTCTCAGATCTTCCTCTCAAAATCATCCATAAACTTCAGCTTGTTCCAAACACAGCTGGCCGGATCATCACTAGAACTACATCGAAGGAACACATGACCACTATCCTTAAAGATCTCCACTGGTTACCCATAAAATATCACATCAACTTTAAGAGTCTCCTCCTCACTTTCAAAGCTCTCCATAACTTGGCACTTCTGTACTTCACTGATCTTCTTTGCTATTACACACCTGCTCGAAGTCTTTGCTCCTCTCTGTCCATCTCTTTTGTTATACCTCCTGCCCGCATGACAACCATGGGATCCAGAGCCTTCTCCCGCAAAGTCCCTCATCTCTGGAACTCTCTTTCACAGCACATCCGTAATTCTGATTCTCTGCCCTTATTTAAATCTAACCTTAAAACTCACTTTTTCAAATTTGCTTATTCTGTTTAATGTTATTATGTATTTTACCATTATTTGCGTTTGATTTTATTGATATCTGTGTTTTATTGGGTTTTTTTTTATATTTGTATTTCTTGTTCAGTGACCTTGAGTGATTTGAAAGGTGCCTTCAAATAAAATGTATTATTATTATTATTATTATTATTATTATTATTATTAAGAAACTGAGCTTATTTCTGACAGAATGTTTATTAAGGAAATTTCTAAAGGAAAGTTCATGGTGTTTGAAATGTTGAAAAGTGGTGATGTTTGAGTCCACTCACACAAGCCATTATCAGCTCATCAGCATTTTTCTCCAAACTGAGAAATTCTCCAAATAACTTGATAAAATAATTTATTTGTTTCTAAAATGAATCCTTTTAAAAACGTTACTTTTTTCGAGAAATGTCTTTTTCAGTGCAAAAACTAACCCAAAACACTGCAGTAACCATTCCAGGCCTGTGCGTGGCGCTGTAACTCTTTCACAAATTATAACCAAAAATGGGAAAAATGCGTGGAGTGTGTGCTAAAGCTTGCATGCTGCTGAGAGTGGTGTGTAAACACAACAAAATAAGACCATTCAGTTGTATGTTAGATTGGGCCATGTTTACATAAGAACAATATCTGGAATTATGTGTGTTTTGTCAGAGTTTATTGTAGCAAATAAACAAGAAAACTCTAATAAAACACGTTTATGTGGATATCACTGTGCTCAATGAATCCGCTGTAGTGTCCATGCCAGGCAGAGTTGTCAGATAGGAAATGACAAACTATTGTACAGTCGCTTTAAACTTATTGTATTTTGTCCCAAACTATCAAATGTGCTGAGTGAGGAAGTGCTTTTTCTGAGCTAGGAGGTTGTAAAACGAGGCGTGTGACGTGATTGGCAAACAGAAAAGAAGGTGGACTTAACCCTAAAACTACCATAAACATAGTCATTGTATATCTGGCAACACTGGTGCCAGGCCTTCAACGAGATGTGCATGCAGTCTGGAGCATGAAAGCTGTTCCATCCAAAATGGTAAATACAGGAATGTTGGTTTGGACCTAGGATAAGGCTGGGTTGCTCTGATAATTTAAAAGGGTGAGCAGTACAAATATAAATTTACTGTCAGCCATTGTTACTAGGGATGCACCGATCCACTTTTTAAAATTTCCAATCTGATCCCGATACTCTGAATATCGGCTGATACCGATCCAGTTCCGATATCATGATCATCATTGATTTTATATGAGGCTGTAATAATCTGCTCTCAAGTACAATTTGTACAAATATATGCATGCATGTCCAAAAAGGCAATTTGAGGTAAGTTTTATTAATGTTGGATAAGTTTTAAAGTTAGAATTAAATCCTGCTAACACAAAACATGTTTCTTTTTATTCCTAGCTTTAAAGTGGATATTAAAGTGATTAATTTAAGTGATTGTTTAGTTATTTTATATTTTTTTAAATAAGGGGCAGATATAAGATTTTTTTTTCTTCTTTTCTGCACTCTTTTCATTCATTGTTTTCTTTTTGATTATTGTTTTAAATTTTGTTTCTTTTAAATGAATGAATAAATGAATTAAATAAAATAAAATGTTAAATGGCTTCAAACATCTGCTAAGTTCGTGGCATAAATCAACAGACATGTTCCTATTTTTAGTATTTTACATCACTTTATAATGTAGCTGTTTTTGCATCTTTTTTTATTTTTTTAAATATATATAATTTTCAAATCATATGTTTTTTTTTTTTATCTTTTATGATTGTTTACTGTTGTACTGATAAATATCTCCTGGAGTGTAAACTATATCTTGACTGCAAGTATCAAGATGGGAAATTCTTCGTTTTCTACAACTGATAGCTGTTGGTCATTAATTATGATAAAGTTTAGCAACTTCTCAAATGTTTGTTAATATTTGAGCTCCGTGGTTTCAGCGATGTCTTTTTCTTGTTCAATCCGAAGCAGGCAGCCTGATTTCAGTCAGCCGCGCTCAGTCTGTCCCTCCTCAGAGACGGGCAGACTGAGCGGGGCAGATTGGACGGGGCTGGCTGGGGTTGAGTTGGCTGTTTTGGGTTGAGCAAAGAGTAGCGCCCCGCTGAAGCCATGGAGCTCGAATGTCTAACGTAAAACTAACTTTACCATGGTTTAATGTGGCGCTATGGCTCTGCAGACATTGCACATTGCTGTCTTGAATTGTGGTGTTTCTAGTGTAAAATACTTCCACACAGCTGACATGATTAGATGAAAAGTTTGTTAGCTGTTAGCCAATAGCCACAGTGCTGCTAACTCAGTTCTCACATTGTAGCTGGCTGCAAACTATGAAATGGATTTCCTGAATGTGCGGCAGGTCTTATTACTCTGGGTTCATGAGACACGCCTCCGTTCAGGAAATCCATTCCATAGTTTGAAGCCAACATGCATCATGGATCGGAAATATCGGCAGGTTGGATCGGAAAAATCCGATACGTAAATTTTACTGGTATCGGAGGCCGATACCGATACTGGGTCGGATCGGCCCCATCCATATATCTACTCAAACAGAAAAACAATTGACTGCAGCCGCCTGTAGTGAGCATGGCTATTTCACACCTCTCTGCTAAGTGTTTTCCAAAATCCTCTTCTCTGAGACCTGGAGACTGGCAGATCTTCAGGGAGGCTGCTGTAAATAAAGGAGAACTGGATCTGGAGGAATACACAACTGCGGTCTTCTGAGGCCCTATTTACATGGACATGGCAGAGGGAAACGTAGGATTGTTCTGATTGTTGATTCAAGGAAAAAATCCACGTTGACACGGCTCATATTCGGTGTTTACATGAATCACACGAATCCGCTGT